TACCTGAACCATATGTCTTATTGATTGGTAATAATGTAATCACTGGTGATTATCCAAAATTTAATGTAAGTTGTTCCCGTAAAATTTCTAACTATATATTTAGCTCTGTTACCAAGGATGATTCAGTTGTTATTCTAAAGAATCCTACTCTAGTTATCAGTTATGGCCTAAAAGTTAAGGGGACGCGGTCAAAAACCAGTCACTCTTTTTTGGGGACCTTAATTAATAGGCTTTCTTTTGCTTATTTCTTTTGGCCCCTGGGCAATACAGAGACTTACACACTTTATCAAGCAGCAGGTTGAATCCATAGCCTCCCATCCCATACAAGTCCATTATCACAGACTGCAAAAGGCCGATAAAGAAAATCCTTGATAATAAACGGAGCAGCCAGAGATGGGTAAGAGACACCGGCCCCTGTTTCAACCTAAGACAGGCACCCCGCCGTAGCTGCTGGGTTAGCCCATGACGGGTAAGATCAGTAGGTGCGGTGTCCAACCTAATACAGGTGCCGGTTTCATACATGGTCAAAGGTAATCCTGTTGCACTTTTGCAGTCTTCAAATAATTATTGAAAACAGGGAGGATATGTTGGGAGCCGCTTGTTCTACCTGACTGAAGCCATTTTGTAATTCTCTGAAGCCACTTTGTAATTCTCCAAGAACATGTTTGGACATGTTGCCCAGGGAGAATAGGTTTTAGTTTACCCCACCCTGGGAGGATAGGTTTCAGGAAACGCCCTGCTAAGTTTCTGTTTACCAGATAACTTTCAGATTATTAGAAATGACATGATGTTATTCTCCCCCATTGCGTACTTCTCCTCCCCCCATTGTGCTCCTGTATATAAGCTGTGAGTGCTTTCAATAAAATTGAGACTTGATGGGAATTTCAACTTGTCTCCATGCCTCTGTGTCTCCTGTCCCCTTTTTTTGTCATTCTTTCCTTCCCAGGGTTCCTGTTGAAAAGATCCCGCGGGCCGGGACAAATAAGCATTGGTCGGTTATCCCAAGAACTTAAATGCTATGAAGGAAAATTGCTTATATTAAAAAGACTATTTTACAAATATATACTAAAACCTAAACTTAGAAAAAGTAATTATTATACTGACAGGTAACAGAAAGAAGTGACTGTTCATCATAATGTTTTTATTTGATTTAATATTTTTTCAATTATAAAATATTAATTCACATGACTCATTTGTGTAATAGAATATACATTATACAGAATTATAGAATAAATACATAGTCATGAATGTAACTGATAGAAACATAAAAACAAACCTGACATCTATACATATAAAGGTTAAGGAATAAGGATCACACAAAAATCTGTGCAATTATCCAAAGCTGAGAAAATAGTATTATCAATAGTATTGTCAATAGATAAAGAATTTCCAGAACAATCCCTGTTTAAATTATTATACAAATTAAATTTCTTTAAAATAATAACTTCAATATGTCCACTGATAAATGATAAACTGTTGGATTCTGATTTTTTTGTAAAATCTTTTAAGAACAAGTTCACAGTCTCTATTATAGATGTATAATATAATTTACATATTTGAAATATGTAATAATGATCCATAATTAAGAAAAAAAACTATCCTCTTAAAAATGTTAAAGCTAAAGAGTCCACAATTAAGGTTGCATAATGGAGTATACTTGGGGCAGTGGGAGGGGTGCAGGGGAATTGTATATATCAAAGAAAGAATTTTTCTTTTACTTTTCAAAGAGAGGAGTGAACTGGGGTGGGTGGAGGGCTGGGCAGGGAGAAAAGTGCAACAATGAATGAATGGAAATAAAAAATCTCTGGAAATGTTCATTAAAATTATTTAAAGAAAAGCTAAAGTTAAGAAAGATACAATTTTTCAAATAAATTCCCAAAACAACCAAACACCACAAAACCAAAATAATCCAAAGCCAAAGTCTTCATTTATTTGAAACTAAAGTTGAGCTTTCCATTTCTTGTCAGGACTTCCGTTGCTAACTGTGGAAATGAAAAAAATCGGAGTAAAAAAATTAACATAACTGCTTTAGATGCTATCTGACAGCTAGAAAAACTGTTTCTAAAATAATTTTAGTGTTCAATTGAAAGTTGATCCCCAAATTATACCTGTAAAGACACTGGAAGGCTTATAAAGAATCCATGCTTTTAACCCTTTGATTTTAAAGATTAAGTACAATGATTAGTAACTTGACAAATTAATCTAACACAACTGAACAGTTATGTAATTACTGCTTTGCTATTTTGGGAATTTCAGGAGCCCTGGTGACACAGTATGCAACGTGTGTGCTATCAAGCTAGAACAGACTCACAGCTGACCCTCCAGAGGGTTTTCAGGGGAGGAGACTGCCTATTTTCTTCTGGAGTGGCTGGTGAACTCAGGCTGCATTATTTCAGTTGGCATCGTAATTCCTTAGCACCAGGCTACCAGAACTTCAATGTGTAATGTGGTGTTGTGGTGTACCATTGAGTCAGTATTGAATCATACATGATCCTCTAGCAGGTTTTCAGAGGCAGTGAAATGCACGAGACATGACTGACTGCTCATCTTATTTCCTTGGGAGTAGCTGGCTGATTCAAACCATGTGCCTTTGGGTTGACAGCACACTTCTTTACCAGTAAGCCTCCAGAGCTCCCCAGTGTGTAATGTGGTGGATGTTAAAAGAAAGGTTGGTGGTTCAAGCCCACCAGCCATAGCATGGAAGAGAGATGGATAGTCTCTTCTTGTATAGATTTACAGAGTGGAAAACCAACAGTGGGTTGCCATGGGTCAGAATTGATGCCAATGCAGTGGGCTTTTGGTTTTTAAAATTAGTGCCTATGGATCCTGACTGAAAGCAGAGAGTATCAGAGGAATGTCTATCTGTGTTTCATAGACTATGCAAAGGTATTTGACTGTGTGGATCATAATAAACTGTGGCTGACTCTAAGAAGAATGGGAATCCCAGAACACTTGATTGTGCTTATGTGAAACCTACACTTGGACCAGGAGGCAGTTGTCAGAACAGAACAAGGAAATACTGCATGGTTCAAAATTGGGAAGGGTGTGCATTAGGGATGTGTCCTATCTCTATACTTTTTCAATCTATATGTGGAACAGATTATCCGGGAGGCTAGGCTCTAATGAGAAGTGTGGCATCAGGTTTAGAAGTAGACTCAACAACAATCTGCGTTATGCAGATGACACAATCCTGCTTGCTGAAACTGAGGAGGACCTGAAGCCCTTGCTGCAGAAGTTCCAGGACTGCAACCTTCAATATGGAATGAAGCTCAACATTAGGAAAACAAAGATTCTCACCAATGTGCCGACTGGCAGCATCATGATAGATGGTGAAGAGATTGAGAATGTTGAAAGCTTCAGTTTGCTTTGCTCTACATCAATACTCTTGGTACCAGCCGCCAGGAAATTAAAAGATGAATTGCACTGGGAAAATCTGCTGTCAGAGAACTCTCCAAAGTATTGAAGAGCAATGTTGTCAGTCTGGAGAATAAGGTGTGCCTGACACAGGCCATGGTCTTTACAATTACTTGCTATGCATCAGAGAGCTGGACAATGACTAGGGATGATAGAAGGAGAGTTGATGCCTTTGAGCTTTGGTGCTAGAGAAGAGTACTGAATATACACCATGGACTGCTAGAACAACCAAGTTCATTCTGGAGAGGGTGAAGGCAGGCTGCTCCTTGGAGGCAAGGATTCTGAAGCTTCAGCTGATATATTTTGGACATGTTGTAAGGCAGGACATGTAAGTTCTTGGAGAGGGATGTCTTGCTTGGGAGGGTGGAGGGACAGTGCAGGAGATGAAGACCCTCGATAAGATGGATTGATTCAGTCGCTGGGGTAATGGGGATGGGCATGTTGGAGACAGTAAGATTGGTAAAGGATATAGTAGGGCTTAGGGCTGTTGTACATAGGTTTGCTAAGAGTCACAGGCGACTTGCCGGCACACTACAACAACTATAATACTTCTTAAAACCTTTGGTCATTCTGAGATGTTCCACATATAAAAGTCTTTATGTTCTCATGGTTTGAAAGAAGCATAGTTATCTTCTAGCTACATATACTTGATTTTCATCCCAGTAGGTGAGGATGAGAGTCCTTATGTGGGATTTAATTCCTCTGGGAATGTCTAGTATCAATTTGCAGTCAACTGCTCTAGAGATATCAATACTTTTTATTGTGTTATCTCCCCTATTTAAAGTCATATGCAGGGAAATAATCTGATTATTTTCCTTTCCTAAAAGGAAACTTATACAACTATAAAATAGTTGATGACAATAAAAGAAAGTTTGGTGGTATACTTACATATTTTTCCTTCTTTTTCCAACTTTTTCAAATGAAGTAAGACATTGTGTTCAGCCATGCGAAGCAAATTTTCAGAAATATTCTAAAAAAAGAAAAAAGTATCTTATTTTGAATCCTTTAATAAAAATCAAGACTCAAGAACAAAAAACACAATGCAAAACACTGTCCATGGAATTTAAGCTTTGTCCATTACCGAACACCCAGAACTTAGTGTAATGTCACAGAGCAGGATGTCATTAATATTTTATAAGTAAATGAATGCAAAAATGATTCTTAGATCAAGATCTTGAAATATATATCAACTGTAGAGAAAATTAACTATTCATTCAAGTAAAAATAAAAACAAAAGAATAAACACTCAAAGGGAAAAAACTTTTTTTTAAAAAGCCTTTTTTTTTAAAAAAAACCACTATTTTATACTAGTTTAATTACAAAGTTTGTATACATCGTTTTTCACATCAGATCTTCCCCATTTCCTTTACGCATCCCTTCTTCCATCTACTCATCAAATTGTGCGACCCTCCTGCTCATCCTCATCCCTCTGCTCCTACCCTCAACCTCTTGGATCGTCAAACATATTTTACTAGTTATCATTCTGTTTCTATAATAATAGTCTTATACACTATTTGTCCTTAAGGGACTTACTAAGTTCACTAGCATAATAGCTCTCTAGTCCCTTCCAAGTTAGATAGTGATTTTCAAAATCATTGCTCCTGTGTGTTGTGTAGTGGTCCAGTGTGTGAATGTACCCTAATTTCCTAATCTACCACTTGTGTTTGGACATCTCGACTGTTCTTCTGATGGTGAATAATGCTGTTATGAACACTGGTGGACAAATCTCCATTTTTGCCTCAGTTCTCATTATCTTGGGGTATATTCCAAGCAGTGGAATAGCTGAGTCATATGGAATTTCTATGTTCAGCTTTTTGAGGAAAAACCAAACTGTCTTCCAGAGTGGTTGTACCATTTTTTCAATTCCAACAAAAGTGTATAAGAGTGCCTATCTCACCATATCTTTGCCAATATTACTTTTTATTTTTTAATTACTTTTTACTTATTAAACTTTGCCACTGCTATTAGAGTGAGATGGTATTTCACTGTGGTTTTGATTTGCATCTCTCTTATTGTCAGTGATTTTGAACACTTTTTCATGTGGCTGTTGGCCATCGGAGTATCTTCTGTGAAGTCTTTCCATGTATTTTGCCCATTTTGTAATTGTGTGATCATTCTTTTTCTTGTACAGGCCTTGTAGGATTCTGTAAGCTTCTGCTATGTGATCTTTGTCTGAAATGATATTGCCATATGTTTTTCCCCAGTCAGTAGGTTTTCTTTTCATTCTGTTGGAAAATATTTTTGATGAGCACAGGGGTTTAATCTTTAGAAGGTCCCGTTCATTAATTTTATCCTCTCTGATTGTGCATTTCTGGCTGTATTTGGCAGTCTTTTTATACCACAGAGTAGGCCATCTAAGCTTGATCCCAGTTTGTTTCTTATGAACTTTATGGTTTGGGGCTTTAGTCCCAGGTCTCTGATTCACCTTGAGTTGATTTTTGTTTATGGTGTGAGATGTGGATCCTGTTCCACTTAAGAGCTTTTGATGCTACTGTCATTTAATCATATGGTGTATTTATTAGGTTACATGATAATACGTTTGCACATTTTAATAAAAGGATATAACTTTTAGCTTTATAACTAATTTTTAAATTCTGCTTTGGCTAATGCAGAAATGAAGTATCTGACAACAGTTGTCTGAATCAAAAAATCAATGACTCATTTTAAAATAAGGATTGTATTTCCTGGGGAAAAAAGGGAAATAAAAAGATATAGGCACATAAAAACTGGTATGTTTTATAATGCTTATTAGTCACAATAGTCAAAGAGTAAAAACAACCCACCTGTACATTAACGGATAAATGGACAAATAAGATGTAGCATATTAAGCCAATTAAGTAATATTCAAGCATCAAATGGAATGAAATACTGAAAAATGCTACAATATGGACTTCAACAGAATATGAATTTTATGACATGTCCACCCAAACACACACTCAGCAATCTTCATAGAATCAATTTCACTTATAGTGGTTCTATAGGACGGGCATTTTTGATTAGTCACCTGTTTTATACTACCCAGGGCCTTTTAAATCAAGGTAATCTTGCTCCAAATCCTACAACTTTTTTTGAGTGAAGGTTAAAGAATCCTATTGATTTTTTGTACACTCATTCAGAAATTTTGTTTTATAACATTAACTAATTACCATTGCAAACCTACATTTTAACCTCTAAGCTATCCTATCTACATAGCAGAAATCTGATAAACATTTGCTAAAGACTGAAATACATGAAATAAATTGTTATATAGAATTATTAGGCAGTGAAATGCTCACAGATCACTGTGATGTAGAACTCCTTCCCTAGATACTGAATCACACTATTCAGGTTCTAGGGTATGTCTTTTCTCCAATATATGTATTTTAGTAGTATGTAAGGCTGCTAACCAAAAAGCCAACTGTTCGAATCCACCAGCTGCTCCTCAGGAAAAAGATGGGCAGTTTTCTCTCATAAAGACATACAACCTTGGAAACCTGACAAAGGGTCACTGTGAGTCTGAACTGGGTCACTGTGAGTCTGAACTGACTTAACGGCATTGAGTTGGGCAAGGCATCCTTCCTACTTCTTTCTCACTGCTGTTATTTCAGTATCTGTTTCCAGCAGCTGTAGTGAGAACCCAGTTGATCAAGGTGATCAGACTACATAAATTACAAAACTTAAGCATTTGGCAGTTTATAACAAATCTGCAGAATAGAATGGCTCATGATAGCTATAAGGCTAGATTTTATTTCATTCTTCTGTATTCTATCAAGTTGAGACTGCTGGTCTCAAATCTACAACAAGTATTAGTCCTTAAAAAAGGATCACAGACTTATTACATTCTAGGATAGTGTAAGCTTATTTTATTTATAGTCCACTAAATAGATCATTCTAGTAAAACTGGTTATGCACAATAATATAAATTGTTGTTGTCATGTGCTTCTGAGTTGCCTGCAACTCAGAGAGACCCTATGTACAACCGCCTTAAAGCCTGCTCTACCCTTTGTCAATCTCACTGTCACTGACACACCTACCCCCTATTGCCCTAGTCACTGAATATAAATTACCTTATACATAATTTTTACAAGTTCCATGGCTGTAAATGATTTTTCAAAGTTCTCACGAAATAATTTCAGAATCTGCTCTTCTCGCATAATTCTGTGAGAAATGTACTCCATAATTTTAGCTTCAGCATTATAGATTACTGGTCCATGTCCTGAAAAATAATTACAAAAATTACTTGAATCAGATAAAAATTATTAAACTATAGTTGAGGCTAATTCACTCTTATTGAAAAAAACTGTAAAATGTATTATAAAGCATACTAAATAAAGAGCAAGTAGAAATTATTAAGAAAGATATTCAAGTATAAGAGATTTAAAAATTAACTACTATGGTAAAAATATTACAGAAGTATATCAAGTCTATATAAAATATTACTGCTTTCTTTCAAAACGCATAAAGTTAACAATGAACATAAAAAAGTAAAATTTAAGATAGCAATAAAAAATAGCAACTATAACAAGAATGATAATAGGTGACTTAACATAATCCTTATATATGACAGACACTTATTCCAACAACAATCCCATGAGATAGCTCCTATTTTTATCCTTTTTATTACAGAAGAAACTTGAGGCATAAAGAGGGTAAATAACTTGCCAGAATCACACAGCAGTGAAAGCAGTAAAGCTTAGATTGATTCCATAATCTGTACTTTACACCACAATGCTAAGCTAATTTATATAATACTTAATTTTTTGTGTGAGTACCGTCAAATCAGATCTGACTGGTACAGGAGGAGACTGTTTCTCCTCCAGCAGAGCATCTGGTGGATTTGAACTGCACACCTCTGGGATTGTAGTTAATTTACATAATATTTAAATAAAAAGAGGACTGTAAAAAGAAGCTTCCTGTAAGTACAAAAGCCTGTTAAAATTTGACCTTCAGACTTCTTTGTATAGTTTCAGTGTAGTAGGTCTTGCTAAAAATTTGGCTTCTTTAGGCTACTGTCTCTAAGCTGATCCAGCTGCCCTGTGGGTAGGGGTCCACCTTTATCATCAGTAACAGTGTGAGCCACTTCTTCTTCATAGGGTGTGTTAGCCTATCCACAAGTGGATTGACAGGTCTTGCCTCTAAATTGAGCAGAATCAGCAGCAAATTTTGGGAACCTCAACACCAAGAAAGAAGCAGCAGAGAAAGCAGAGAAACTTCAGGGCCAGAGGTTTCTACAGCAGGTTATCTTGCTGTTGAGAAGCTGTCTGGATTAACTGAGGGACTATAACCTTGTTCTTGGCTGAGATGGTATCTGAACTAATTGAGGGCTGTGTCTTACTGTTAACCTGGTTTGGGAATGCTATTTACTAAACCTGGACTGTTCTGATGTGATGTCCTTTGCCTTCCCCATTCCCCTCAATTGGTTTCCCTAATAAACTTCACATTTGTGAATAAAAAGAGGTTCTGTAAAAGTCTGTGCCTAATTGAGCCTCACTGATGCAATCCCTGTCTCAGTCCATCCCAATGCAATACAATCTTTTATTCCATGACTGCTGCTTCCATAGTGTTTAAAAAGAAGTAATTGACAACTTTTGTTCATCTATTATATTGCTTATTGGTCCAGTTGTAAGGATTTTTGTTTTCTTGATGTTGAGGTGATTCATACTAACGACCATCGTCTTTGATCTTCTTCAATAATTGCTTCAAGTCTTCCTCAGTTTCCACAAGAAAGGATGTGTCATTTGCATAATACAGTTTACTGATGAGCCTTCCTCCTGATGTGATATTCTTCTTCATACAGTCCTACTTCTAGGATTGCTTGCTCGGTATAAAGATTGAATATGCATGATGAAAGAACACAAGCCTGACACACATCATTACTGATTTTAAACTCTTAATTCTTTTCAAACAAATTTCTTGGTTCATGGACAGGTTCCACATGAGCACAATTAAATGTTCTGGAATTCCCATTCTTCTCAATGTTATTCATAATACAGTATGATTCACACAGTTGAAGACCTTGGCATAATTCATGAAACACAAGTAAATATCTTTCTGGTATTCTCTGCTTTCTGCCAAGATACACTCGATAGCAACAATGAATGCTACCACTTGTTTCAAAACCTCTTCTAAATCCAACATGAATTTCTGAAGCGCCTTGTTGATGATGGATTGCCCCAGTATATACTCTTAATAATTTTCAGCAAGATCTTACTTGTGTGTGGTATTAGTGATTTGTTGTTGTTGTTAAGTGCCGTCAAGTCACAGGCGACTCATAGCGACCCTATGAAGGAGAGTCCTTGACGCTTGGGTGTCTCTCATCCTCTCTCCAGGTTCATAGGGTTTCTGGAGGCAAGCTACTATGGAAGTGAATGCCACTCCTTCTTCTAAGCATTAGTGATATACTATTTGATAATTTCTGCATTTTGTTAGATTATCTTTTTTGAGAATGGTCACAAATATGGATCTCTTTCAGTCAGCGGATAGGTAGCCATCTTCCAAATTTCTTGGCTTAAATGAACAAATCAAGTTTGCGCCTGTGTTAAAACATCTTAAAATGGTATTCTGTCAATTTCTGGAGCCTTATTTTTTGTCAATGCATTTGAAGCACTTTGGACTTTTTCCATTCAATACTGCTTTTTCTTGATAATATGCTACTTCTTAAAGTGCTTCTGCATTGACAATGTCTTTCTGCTACAATGATTGTGCAATGCTTTAACCTTGCTTCCTGTATCAGTTAGTATTCTGCCCACAGAATCTTTCAGTACTTAAACCTAAGGCTTACATTTTCAGTTATTCTTCCCTATTTGTTTTCTACTTCAAGTTCTTAGCACATTTTGTTATAATTCTTTGTTTTCTCCAGGCACCTTCTGAGACCATCTGGTCAGCATTTCTGTATCATTTCTTTCCTTTGCTTTAACTTCTCTACAGTCAAGATCACGTTTCAGATTCTCTTTTTTTAAAATTAAATTTTATTAGTTTTAATGAACATTTACCGGGATTTTTGGTTTTCATTCCTTCCTTGCTGCACCATTCTCTCTACCCTCCTCCCCAGTTTGTTCTTCTTCCCCGCCATCCGAGTGTCTGTTTTAATTGTCCAATTGCCACAGTGCTTGTCAAAGTCAGTTCTGATTAATCTCCTTTGTCGGTGTGTCCTTTGCCATTCCCTATCACTCCTCCCTGAGAGAGACTTCACCCTGAGTCATAAGGAAAAGGGGATGGCGTATTCTCTTAGCTACTTCCTGCTGAAAAGGGACGCTGTGGGTTTCATGATGAAGATCTTCTCTCACTACTCTAAAGGGCCCCTTTGGCAGTAGGAAACACATAGACTATTATGGAGATTGATTTTGGAATTTAGATGCACTGTTATTAATTGTGCTTAGCCGTACATGTTCATATCCCTGAAGATGTATCATGGGGGGATTGCAACCTAGAAGACACAAATTTAACTAACAAGTTATAAGTACATGAGTCAAAAATTATGGAAAAGTAAAAGAAAAGATTCTTTCATTGTTTTACAAACCCTCCTCCCCCAGGTCCCCTTCACCGTGTAGCCCTCGCTCTAGACTCCTGTGATGACAGAAATACCTAGTCACATATCTCTTTTACACAGTTTTCTCCCTCCTCTGTTTCAGTGCAGTACACATTATTGAACCCATCTTACTCAATCTCCCCAACCCCGAGGTTAGTCCCATTCTACAACAGTGGCATCATGTAATATTTGTCCTTTTGTGACTGGGATATTTCACTCAGCATAATGTTCTCCAGAGTCAACCATTTTGAATAATATTGCATGAGTTCCTTGTTTTTTAATGCAGCATAGTATTCCATTGTGCGAATATACCACAGCTTCTCTAGCCATTCGTTTGTTGATGGGCACTTAGGTTGTTTCCAACTCCTTGCTATTGTGAACAAAGCTGCAGTAAACATGGGTGTGCATATATCTGCTTGGACGTCAGCTATGGTCTCTTCAGGGTATATTCCCAGTAGTGGAATTGCTGGGTCAATCAGATTCTCTTTTGAGAGTCATTTTGGTCTTTTCTGTCTTTTTAATGATCCTTTGCTTTCTACATGTATGATGTCCTCGATGCTAGCCCACAACTCATTTTGTCTTCCATTGAGAATATCATGGATAACCTATTTTCATGCAAAAAAGCATGAAAGACTACTGCTTACTGGCTAATATAGGTGAAAGTTCCTGCATCTCTGAGTCTGTCTCTCCAGCTGTGCAATGAGGATAGGGTTTGGTTATGTGGTTTGGCTGCAAACTCCCTTGTGCAATGCAGCAAGCTTAACTCTACGGTAGCTATGACTACGAGGCATAATTTACATATAAACTCCTGCTGTGCTAATAAGTGATTTCACTGGCTTCACTAAAAAGCAAGTACTCCAAGGACCTTTAGCAGGCAGCCTCTCATTATCCTAGAATGAATGTGAGCACATTGGATATCTAACTCACTTCTCTTTACAAACAGCTGCTTCTATTCTTTTCATATCCTGTTATTTATCCAAATGCTCAGCTCCACTGTTGGTTTCTTAGCCCCTCTGTAAAAACTCATGAGAACATGTGAGAGCACTGACAATACTGTATTTACAGATCAGGCATGGTTGTTCAGTTAGGAGTAAATCTGAATTTAGAAAATCAGGTAGTCCAGCCCTTTTTTCCGTTTAAGCCCTCTTGTTGGAGCTTTTGTTTTTCACAGTTTTTAGGACAAGGAACAGCTTGATATTGTAGAGCTGTGTAGTTCTATCTGGAAAAGGTTGCGTGTTTTGGAGAATGCAAATCAGTATGTTACTTTATAGTCGACAGGACAGTTACTGATGTTTCACCAACTGGAACTGCAGAAACTAAACTCAGAGGTCAATCGTCACCCAAGGTTACAAACCTGAAGCGTGGTGAACAACAGAAATAAACGGAACTAAATTTAAAGTTGCTGACTTAAAAACTTTTTGTCCCCTTGTTAGTTATTTCCTTCAACAGCCTTGAGAATAGAACAGCTGTGTGGTTATTTAAGAAACAAGCAAACAAACAAAAAACCCCCTCTTTGTCTTTGTAAAACATGTTAAATATAACTCTAAGCTTTATATTTAACCATTTGGATAGACAAACAAAGCACATATATACGACCTCAAAATGAATTTTGCTCATCTCTTCACAAAAATGGTTTGGTGGATTTAAAAAAATACCCACCTGGGTATATAACATTAGCTTTGAATTTCAGTAACTCTTTCAGGGATTTCATATAATCATAGAGGTCTTCAAATACTGTTGTTCCTTCCCCGAGGATGCAATCTCCAGAAAAGATAGCATTTTCTTCTTCTAAAAGAAGAGCCATGTGGTCATCAGTGTGGCCAGGTGTGTATATAACTCTGGTTAAATGAAGAAAAGAGAAATAGTTAACAATTATGAGCTCTAAGGCATGGAAGAATGAAATAATTCTCAGACCAAGGTACAAAGAAACGAGGACAATGAGTTAAGAAGCTCCAACTAACCTCTATGTGAACCACTGAGAACGATCATCAGAAAAATTTCTCCACTAACTAAATAAAATTCTTTATTCTTGAAATAAAAATTTAATACTCATTTTCCATGTACATTGAAAGTATGGGCAATTCATTGCATTAAACTTGGAAAAAGGAAAGGGTAGTATTTAAAGGAAATTAAAAAAAAATCGCTAATCATTCCACCACCCAGAATTTTAAGTTTGTTCCATCAATAATACCAAGATGAGTATCCTTGAAAAGCATTTGTTGGGTTCAGTTGACACTTATTCTGCTAATAGTGTACCTATATTTTACAGATAAAAGTTCAAAATTTCTAGTTTATTAGACTTCTTGCTGCTACTTTTGGTTATACAGACTGTACTTCCTCAGCTTGTTGATTTATCTAGTAAGTAACACATATGCACCTAGATGGAGAATTCACCTAGAGTTTCTGCCCTTGAACAGGCTCAGACTCACAGAGGCCCTTCATCTGGTTTCTAAGGCTGTAAATCTTAATGGGAGGACATGGTGGTGAATTCAAACCAACATTTTGGTGAGCAGTACAACACACTAGGAACTACTTCACTAGACATACAGAGTGAGGTCGACGATGTAACTTGATAGTTATGTGCCACTGAGTATTTTGTGATTCATAATTACCGTATGCACAATAGCTCTGAACCCTGCCCTGTTCTAACATGATCTCACTGTCTCTGACATGCCTATCCTTATCACCCCAGGTACAGCTGTCAATCCATCTCATCCAGGGTCTTCCTCTCCTGTGCAGTGCCTCTAGCCCTCCAAGCATGATGTCCTTCTCCAAGGACTGGTATTTTCTGACAACATGCTCAAAATATTTGAGACAGAGCTTAAAAATCTTTGCCTTCACAGAGCACCTTGGTTTCACCCTCTCTAGGTAAGATATGTTTATTCTTTTGGCAGTCCATGGTACATTCAATACTCTTCTCCAGCACTACCACGCAGAGGCATCAGTTCCCCTCTGTCATCCTTAGTCATTGTCCAGCTCTCTGATGGATAGCAAGTAATTGCGAAGACCATGGCCTGGATCAGATGCACCGTAGTCTACAGATTGACACTGCTGCTCTTCAGGTCTCTGGAGAGGTCCCTGACTGCAGATTTACCCAATGCAATCTGTCTCTTGATTTCCTGACTGCTGGTGCTTAGGGTGGTGACTGTGGAACAGAGCAAGATGAAATTGTTAATAATATTAATCTCTTTTCTGTCTATCATGATGATGCCAAATGGCCTAGTGGCGAGAACATGTTTTCTTATTATTGAGCTTCAATCCATATTAGATCCTTAATATAAAAAGTATGTTTTCAAGATTTTTTGTGAATTTCAAAGACAAGTTTTAAAGATTTTTGTACAGTAGTTGTCAAAAGTAGTATTAGGTGCTGTTCCACTGACTATGACTCATGGTAACACTAGGAAGAGGAGGAAAACCCTACCATATTGTGGCCAACCTCATGCTCAAGCCCATTTTTACAGTCACTAGTAATCCATCTTGCTAAGGGTCTTCCTCTCTTTCACTGGGCCTCTGCTTTTCTAAGAATGATGTCTTCTGTGCCTCCTGACAACATGCCCAAAGTAGTGAGATGAAATTGTGCCATCCTTGTTTCCAAGCACACTGGTTATACCTCCTCTAACACAGATTTGTTTTATCTATTAGCAATCCATGGTATATTAAATATTCTTCACTAACACCACAATCCAAATTGTGCCAAGAAATCTGGAGAACAACCACTTGGCCAACTGACTGGAAGAGATCGATATTTGTTCCCATCTCAAAGAAGGGCGACCCAACTGAGTGTGGAAACTACAGAACAATCTCACATGCAAGCAAGATTTTACTGAAGATTATCCAAAAACGACTGGAACAGCACATCAACAGAGAACTACCAGAAGTCCAGG